GGGACAGTCGCGTTCAGCCGGAGGGTGAGCTTTTAATTAATTCTATTTTTTCCCTTAGCTACGGAAAGATAATCTTTTCAGTGCATCAAACTGGACGGATAAATCTTTTCCGGCTCTCCTGCTGCTGAAATGGTCCGGGCAGTCAGGTTTGGATGCTCTGGCATCCAGGGGTAGCAAAAGCCGAAGTCATGTGCGGTTCCCGTGTCCGGTGAAACACACATCACTGAGTTTCAGCTTTAGAAATGCAGAACGGTTTCCAGAGGATTCATGTCACTTTGGGGTTTTTTAATGGAGCTGTAGAGATAATGGTGTGAGCTTCCAGAAAACACTGATGAGGAAGCCCGCATCCACCACCATTTACAAAGAAAAGCAGGAATTTTCTATCTGGTAACATCTTTTTTTCTGCTGTTAAAGAGACACCAAAATGTAAGCATTGAAATACTCAGTTTCAGGCTGAGACGTTCTCACTGCTTGGTTCTTACGTGATATTATACAGAAACATTTATTTGATGTAAATACGTGCTTAGTGTGGAGAGTGGAATTTCCAAAGTGTTGCTGTTGCATGTCTTCAGCAGCAAGAGAGAAAGATTAGACTGCTTTAAGGAAAACTCTTAACTGGGAATTAATAAACCCGCTAAGAACAGTCATCTTTGAGCTTCTGTACAGAGACAATAGACCTCTATTTGCCAGAAACTTGAAATCAGGTGATAACGGGTTGCAACTTAATGGCTCTGCAAATGGAGAGCTGAACGTGTGAAACAAGGTAAACAGAGCAATAGGTACCGCTCACCCAAGGTTATTCAAGCAAGCCTTCACGCAGCCCGGGAGGAAAAAAAACTCGACTACACCATTGTTTAGCCATCTGATATGTTCTCTTTCATCATGAGCTTCCCCCTGGGAAAATGGATGGCAGGATTGCTCTGTCTGCAAACAAGTCATATGGCTGCTCCCGACTTAGTTCCCGGCGTTGGAAAGGCATCAGGAGAGGAAATCATGGTTCAAGGAGCTGGGATGTTGCTTTATAATTCTTTTCTTGGTTTTGACAGCGGCTCCCATCAGGGAAACTGGCTCAAAGACTTGCCATGAAGTGCCCTGGACCCCCAGAGGGCTCGAGACTTGCCTTCTTCCTGGAAAATGCCTTAGCCAGAGAGGCTAGGATTTGGAAAGTGCCAGTTTTCCAGAATCTCGCCCTGAAGGTATTTTCCCTCGTCCTCTTTGGACGTGCCTAAGGGACTCTGCAGAGACGCGGTGCTGGTCCTGCCATCTAATCCACCTGAATGCAAAAGTCATCCCGCATGGACTCAGCTTAAGGAATGGGGGGGAGGAGGGTCTGTATTTGTTCCATCCCGCACCTTATTAGTGCCCCATGTAAACCAGGTGCTTCGCATTTTGTTTTGACTCAAGTAGTTTTGGGAAATCTGGTGGAGCAGGTAAGAGCAGACAATCGATGGTAAAGCCGTAAATACGTCATGTTAGAGTTAATTGTGCTCGACGCGGTCTTTGAGTCCCATCTATTCAGATGGGAGAAAAGGGAATTCGCTGAGGCCTGACAGAAACCCAGCCCCATTCCCCGCTGCTAAAGCGAGTCAGTCTGCTACCTTAGGAAGCTGGAACACTTAATGGCCCTCTGTGTACAATGGAAACAGTTACGCTCAGCTGCTTCTGTAAAGTGCATCAGATCGTGGAAGAATGCACAGAAGTGCCCTGCCAGCCTCGCCTCTTTTGCAATAGCGTAGAAATGCTATTTTTTTTACCAAGTATTTTTACTACCAAATAAAGCAAAATAGTGAAATGGATAATGTGATGAGTAATATTAAATGAATTGGTAGTAAATGTTGTCTGTTCTGTGTAGCCACGTGGCCCTTTCAGTTCTCCTACAGCAATGTTCAAATCCGTGCCACGGGTCATGTGTGGCACTGTAATGGCAGCCAGAGTAAAGTCCTTCCTCTCACCTGAATGCATCTTCAAATAAGATATAAGAAAGAAAAAAAACTGAGTACGTTTTGCCTTGTGCCTTGGGGGAGTCATAAACCTGGCTTCTGTGGTCCCAACGCGAAGCAAGTTCAAGGGCTGTTAAAAAAGAAATCTTGCAGAGTCAATCAAAACCTGCTCCCGACTCCTGTTTCTCCCTGTCGAGGCTGTCTGAATGAAACACGTGCCGCATCGGAGGCTTCAGCTTTCTCAGGAGAGGGGAAATAACGGGCACGTTCAGCACCTCATTTGTGAGAGCTCAGTTGGGTGGTTCATACGCAGCGTGCAAGGGGCAGGCTGGGTGCTTCCCCATTCAGTACTCGGGCACAATCCAGTACCAGGCCCTCGTAAGCACAGCTAGAGCCTGACTGGGTGGGCAACGCGAATGAGTGCTTTAAACTGCTCCGAAATTTGCCTCACTCTGTAGACACAGCCGAGAACTTTCTTCATTTCAAGCCTCCAGACATCTGAAATGTTAATTAGAGCACTTGGAATGATTTGAGTCTTCCTTTGGAGATATGTTAACAAAATCATCAAAGCACTAACTGTATTTTTCTTCTAACTTTTTCTTCCCCTCAGGGCACAGATATCTCTCTGTCGTGTTACAAGAAAGTGGTTCTCTGGATTGCAGAAGTAAGCTCTCGGTTCCAGTTTTACCCTGAAACATTTGCCTTAGCTACCAGCATTCTTAACCGGTTATTGGCATCAGTAAAGGTAGAGAATCTCTGTCAGCTTTTTTTCTGGCTAGATTACTGACTGGGGATGTAAGGAGTGTGTAATCAGTTTATACACAAAGCAGGTACTATGTTTGGCAGCAGATTTAAGGAGCAGCCAGGGTCTTTGCTGGGGAAGATTTTTAAGCATATATATATAGATATGTGTATATATATGAACTTGAGTGTTTGATGAGGTTCCACTGATTTACAGTCCTCCGTAGAAGTGTTTGTGTGAACTGTAGTCCAAATGCTGTGATAAGTACAAAGAACTCATTATCATCTGGTTGTCTCTGCTAAACAGAAAACGTTTGCGTTACCACTTTCAATATTTTCATTTTGAACCACTATTTTTAACCAAACCGTGGGGCCAACCTTTTCTGCTATTGAAGCAACGGCAAAGTTATGCGTTGAACTGAGCCTTGCAGCTCTCAATTCTATTTAGACTGATACTGACATTTGGCAAAAGCATAGTAATTAATATCTCAGCTGAGAAGAGGCGTAACATTGCATTGTAAATACTGTGGCATTGCATAGTCTAAAAATTGTGGGATACATGAATAAAAAGCGCACCAGGAAGAGGATTTACTTTGTTTCACTTTGGATTTCCTTGCTCTGTTTCCAGCTTCAAATGAATCTTTCTGCAGCTAAACTAATTCAGAAGCAACTGTAACTTGAATGAAAGTTTGCAACTTGTGCATCTGTCGTAGAATGACAGTTATTCCCCCCAAGACTGTTATCTTCTTTACTCAGTGTTTTCTTCTCCCTTCAGGCCCAATTAAAATATCTTCAGTGCATAGCAATTTCCTGCCTTGTCCTTGCAGCAAAAACCAATGAAGAAGATGAGGTCTGTATGTTCAATTTTAAACACACTAAACTCATCTTTTGCGTTCAAGTTGTTCGTGTTTCCAGGTCTTTCAACAACTTGGGCATAATGTGGAGGTGTTAACTTGTTTACCCTAAGTAGTCCTTAAGGGGAGACAGTAACATTTTCAGTCCTGTTTCACCATTGCTTGAAAGAATGTGACCTTTATGGATGAAGGACTTGTGTTTGCTTACATAATGGATGTGTTTTCCTCCTCCTGCCCTTAAACCTCTCTCCTCTCTTCAGAATCCACGGCTCGCAGTAAAGCTTAGTCTGGGGGAGGGGACAGTCAAGATGCACATGCGCAGCGTTGTGCGCACAGCATCAGAGTGCTGTAAGAGGTCCTGGGAGGGTAAGGTAGGCGAGACAGAGCAGAGGTTCTTCAGAGGAAGCTTAAAATAGATGAGTTTGCTTGGAGTCGAAAGTGGGTTCTGAACCTGGTGAGGAAGTGACTCAGATCTGCACCTCAAGGTGAGCACGTAAAATCAGCAACTACCCATGTAAGTGTGAGATTACACAGGATAATCTCTCATGGCAGAGGACATTTGCAAACATGAGCCAAAAGCATTTCAGATTGCATTTCTCCTCTTCCCTTCATTCTGTTTTGAGAAAGAACAGGAAACCTAGGAGTTGGGAGTCAGACACGCATGTCTCTTCGAACAACCTCTGCTGTAGTGAAACGCTCTTCATAGCCTTTCTGAGGATGTGCCACGCTGAGGTTATTCTTCTTTTCCTCTGCGCTAAAAAGGAGAAGCTGAGTCAATGACCACAGAAAACAAGACACCCACAGAAGGCCCTGTACAACAGGCCAACAGGAAGCCTCCTCCTTGTCAGAGGAGCAAAACTAATGAGACTGGTAGCAGGGAACGTGCATCGCCGATGCAGCGTTAAGGAGGCTCACGGTGACCCAGGAGGTGAACGGCATCGTTCTTGCTGTGGGTTCGTAGCCAGCTGCACTGTGGCGAGCGTGGGCCAGTCTTCATTTAGGACGGGAGTTACCTAGGAAAGCGGTCTCCTGAACGAGCATTCTGCTTAGCGCTTTGGGATGTGTATAAACTTGTCAGATCCCTTTGCAATACAGAGAAACTCACACAGCACTGTGTAGGACGGTGGCTTCTTTATTATTTTTAATTTTCTTTTTTTTTTTTTTACAGATAATACCATCGGTGAAGATGCTCGCAGTGCAGAGTGGTTGTAAATGCTCTCCAGCTGAGATCTTGAGAATGGAAAGAATTATACTAGACAAGCTTCATTGGGATCTTTACACAGCAACACCAATGGATTTCTTAAACATTGTAAGCACTAAATTTTGCAAATTTTTTTTCTTTAAAGAAACAGCTCCTTATCAAATAGACTAGAAAACACAGATGCGCACACGTACACACACCCACACATCCTTCCCAAGATGCTTTGCAAGCTACCTGTTCTCAGCTATCTGCAAGTCTTTTGAAGAATGTTACAACGATTTTTTTATTTATTTGTTTTTAAAATTTTCTACTATTTAAAACCTTTCATTTTGCTCAAAAAATTTACTCCCATCTTTAAAGGACAACTAAAATGGACGTTAAAAAGATTCTCATAAAGCACAACTATACGCCATTTTATTTTTTTTAAATACACACTGCAAAAATATCTCTAACTATTTCCATTCTATTAATACTGTACATAGAAAGCTGTCAGAGTTTTGCTACATTTCACACACAGGTTTTTTTTCTTAAACCATTTTCCTTTTCATCCCACTAATTGTTCACCCTTGTTTTAGGCAATGAGACTACCCCAATCTGGCACTTAGTTCACACTGCAGTTACTAAACATTTGATAGAAACAATTAAACTTTGTCTTCAAGAAACGATCGTGTGCTAGTAAGGCAAAAATCATGTGATACGAACACATCCTGGATCCCTTTTTTAAGGTTATGTGCAAATATTAAGCCATCTTAGGCTGCTGATTGTGAAAACTGCCTTTCTTAGGTGCTTGTTTCCTCAGTAAATTCAGTGCGCAGTCATTATTATTGGTTTTATTCTATCTGTATCTGCTGGCCTGAATTGACTCTCCTGGACAGTAATCTGGATAACGTAGAAACTTCAGAAATTGTTAGGAAACACAGACCTTGTACATTCATTATAAGCTCGAAAAAACAGTTCAGTGGTTGGCAAGTACAAACACAAAACACAAAAAAAAAAAGGGGGGGGGGAACCCTTTAGGTTTCCTGATATGAGATGAAATTAGTCTGTACTTCTGGTTGATAACATATGAAAACATACAAAGTTCACTGACCTCTGCTTTTTTTTTTTTAATATATATATATATATACACTTCTCTCCAGTTCCATGCCATGGTGATGTCCAACTGGCCCCATCTACTACATGGGCTGCCTCAGATGAATCCTTCCCGCCATGTTGCGTTCTTGACCAAACAGCTACAGCACTGTATGGCGTGCCACCAACTATTGCAGTTTAAGGGCTCCACATTGGCTTTGGTGATCATCACCTTAGAGCTGGAGAGGCTGACTCCTGATTGGTTTCCTGTTATTACTGATCTGCTAAAAAAAGCACAGGTAGGAATCAAAATGGCCTTTGGTCACAAATCTTGAGGCCAGGACACCGATAAATTAATAAAGCGCACGTGTATTTACAACCAACATTGCACTTTAGCAGCCTTCTGAGAAGCGTGTGTCCGTGTTCTGCCTTTGCTGCAGACCCTGCTAGAGCTAACAAGAGAGGGAATAAAACTGCAGTTAAGGGGTGGGACCGGGGAGAGGGCCTTCCCTTTGGCAGGGAGGGGAGGTTTCCGAATTGCTTGGCCACGGATAGCTCCCTGCCTGCTGAGCAAGGGGAGATTCTCCCACAACAGGAGTGTCTGAGAGCATCTAAAAACCTGCCCACGGTGTCCCCAGCCTCCCACTGAAGACTGCGCGAACTTCTAAGTACAGTTACATTGCTTGTAAAATATAATCAGTTTGGCTTCCAATGATACACATTCAAGGCAAGCTCTGTTATGTTTGCGGGTTTTTTAAAGCTCTTCTCCAGTTTCACAAAACACATGCCTTTTAAGAGAGTATACCTAGAAGGCTGAAGACCCAGGCTGTCAGCTTACCGTCGACCCATTTTGTGGTCTCAGATTTGTCTGGGATAACCTAGCCTCCTGCTGTCCCTCCTGACTGTCGTCGCCTCCTAAAAAGAGGGAGCGCTTGCCCACCTTTTGTGTAGTAGTTCAGGAGCTCCTGGTTAAGTGTTTTGCATCAGGGCCAACATGCACATTGCCGATACGCATCTATCGAGGCATCCAATACAGCCTGTCCCTGCCCTCCCCCTAATTACAGAGTTACAGGAGCAGTGGCCAGAAGAGAGAGTAATTTATCGTGGACTTAAAAAAATCTGCATCTTTCCTTACAGGTTAACAGCACGGAATTCATCCACTGCAAAGAGCTTGTGGATCAAGAGCTAACGTGCCTGCAGCCATCCAATGCTGTTTATATTTTCTGTTCCATCAGTCAAGCCATCCAGGGCCATCCCAAGGCAAGGCCACCCCACCACGACCCTTCTGGATTGAAGAATTCCCATCAAGTGAGGTTGAGGGTCCCTGTACCCCAGCCAGTTTTAGCACCTTTCACGCCTACTACAGCCCACATTCCTGATGACACCATGGAGACTGATGAATACTACGATGGCTTCAGACACCTGTACAGTGAGGACGGGGGAGCGAGTGGTGGGAGGGTGAACACGGGTGGCTCGTGCCCTCAGCTGAGGCCTGGAGAAGGCAGCTCCCCGTGTCCTCCCTTACAGCCGCCCGGAAGGGACTAGTGGAGAATTACTGCCTTGGAAGCAGCGACTGCAGAACCAGTAGGTCCCAGCGGACAGAACCAGCCCTAACTACAGAGCAAAAGCGCTGCTGTGTTTTTCAGAGGATAATGACAAATTGGTATTGTCTGTCTACTTGTTACGTCCTTCCTAAGCAGCGGGTGCTACCCCTCAGTTTTTAACATCATGTAAATACAGAAAGCTGGGGAGAGGAGGGACTTGGTCACAATCCTACAACTCAGGGATCAAGTTGGCAGAAGGCTACGAACTGCGCCAGAGAGAACCAAATGTCTCAGAGATTATTTTTTAGAAATAGCTGTGATGAAGTGTGACCGATTGAGCCTTTCATCCAGCCCGCTCCGTGGCTCTCATTAGAGCTAATCTGACTTGCCCCGTGGGAGAGGGAACAGGAGCTGCTTTCGAGGAAGGGGGAGCTCCCGCTGCTGGCTCTGTAGGAGTAGTCCTCGGGTGCAACCGAGGTCTTGACTGAGTAGTGAGAAGACTGAGAATCAAACCTTCTGGTTTTTCTTAAGGCCTCGCCCTGGAATCCGGGGGTCTGAGGTCTGTGCTCCTTCCCGGTGAAGCCGTTAAAGGCCCAACCCCAGTTCCTGCGAGCTGTGGGAAATCGCTTCTTGTCCACAATCACTGTTGCCTGGGGCCCTCACCAACCAGCACATGCCATTCAGGGTTTTTTAAAATTTATTCTGTTTTACCAGATTGGACAGTAGAAAATGCCTTTAATTAATTCCCCACCACCACGTTAGTTTTTATTAACTGCTAATCTCCATAGCAAAGCAGTTCTACAAACTACAAAGCTCAGTTTAAACCTCTAGTGCTCTTTTAAAAACCAGCCTTACAGATTCTTTTAACAGAAGTGTTTTCTTAGGGGTTTTTTTTTGTTTGTTTCATTTTAAACAATAGGGCCAGCATTTTCAGGTGACTGTTATCCCAGTTTGAAGGTATAATCCAGACAGCAGTGGATGAATAACGCCACCACCCCTGCCAGTCCCGTCACAGAACAGGAGAGGGTTTCATATGGACCTGCGCAGGCTAAATGCCGAGCAGGTGTCTCACGTAGCGACACAGGATAAATAAATAGGGGACAGGGATGAGGCAGGAGCAAGGAGACCCTCATGCTGCATAACAGCAGCACTCGGCAGTGCAGGAAGAAAGTTTCTGGCCTTCCTTCCACCTTACCGTGTAGGAGAGGAATTCCTGGATGCCGAGCTGTGCAGGACGGAGCGCCTGAGCGGCTCTGTTAGCAGATAACGCTCTCTAAAGTATTACATTTGCCAGAACTGGCACTGAGGACAGAGCGAGCTTTGTATGCGTGCAGGGAGAAAGCCATGCCTTTCTTTTTAAACCGCAAAGAAAGCAGCGCCTAAGTGTTCCAGAAAGAAACCTTTAGTGTCAGAGGCTTAGTGCAAGTGACACGTGTGAGCAGACGTGACTTGAACCAGAGGTGAAACCGAAGGAGGTCCCACGAGGCAAGTCAAAGCTACCGCAAACTGTGAATGCTGTGCTGCAGGGGGGAGCCTCTGCCCTGGCCAGGGGATGCTGCAGGAGCAGGACTCGGCGCCCGGTTTTGGACCAGATGAGGTTTATGAGGTGCCCTCACAGCCGGGGGCCAGGCAGCGGCATCCTTGGGGTATGTTATTTATTCATCCTGCCTACGTACCACAGGGAAGGTTTTAATTTCATGGTAGGGCTCTTCCCTCCCCCCCCAGCGTAGCACCTTCCTTTTCTATCACAAGCTGTGACTTGGCTGCCTGACTTTTTGAAGGAGGCGACTTGTCTTTTGTAGTTTTCATTAAATAAAATACAAGTTTGGTCTGCGCGTTCTCGGTGTGCTCCTTGGAAGAGTCCAGCCAACAGCCCACAAAGGTCCCGGCAGGAAGCTGGGGTGCGTGTCTGGTTCTGCTTTCCCCCCCCTCCCTTTGCCCCTTCTCAAGCATCTTCACCAGCTGCACGCAGTGGAAATCTAGCAGAAAAATTCTACGCACAGTAATTAAACACGCTGTAACCTTCTACCACCACAACCGCACCTCATGTTTCCCCCCCCCAGCTTTGAGCCTATGCACATAGTTTCCTGCCCGTAAGCTGGATGGCACATTAAAAACCGTGAACGGACCTGCTTTTCAAAACCTCTGCAGATCCCTGTGATCAACGTTCGAAAGCATAAATTAGCAGGGGGTTAATTCCAAACGATGAAGTCAGCGCTGCTGAAAGGCCCACGGGGATCCCGTGTTCCCCGTCAGGGTGCAAGAGGACATACTGGGATGGGAACAGTAAATCTGGAGCCCGCCCGCTCTCCCGGGGTACGCTGCTGCTTCTCTCTGGCAGCACCGGTCCTTTCCGCACACCTATTCCAGTGCTGGAGTTGCGATAAAGGGACTCGCGCTTGTGGCTTGGCCTCAGCAGGTTAAAAGTGCCACTTACCTTTGCGTTCCCATCATCGTTAAGAACGGAGCGCCCTGCCCCAAAGAACAAACTGCAAACTACAGGAAGAGGCTGCTGTTGCAACAGGACCGTTCTTGTTAGGGGAAGAGAGCATTTTTGAGAGCGAGAGCTGCACAAATTCCCTTCTTGCCGGCAGAACGGGGTCTGAGGCTGTTAATACCTTTCCCCTCGCTGCCTGGACAGGGAACGAGTAACAAGACCAACACACCACACGTCCAGGTGGCAGCAGTAACAGGAACGATCATTTTGCCCGTTCCGAGGCGATGACTATCTCCTTTCTGCGCCTGCCCGTTTGGACCGAGCGTAGCATGCATGCTACAGACACAAGTTTATCCTACCTCCAGCTAAACTCACCGCCGTGGACCTTGTAACCATTTTGCTACACGCCAGTTACTGGCGAGAACGTGCCGGGTCCAGCCGGCACAGCGAGCGCCGGCACAGGTCTGACGTGTTTAGGGCTAGTCTTGTGAGGATTGCTGGTTTGGGGAATATTCGGTCCCTGTAAAACTCCAGAGAACATTTACAGAGTATTTTCAAAGAGCTCTTACGGTGCCTCATCTTGACCTGGTAGGGAAGGCTGCTTCCTCCCTCTCTCCGGGCACGAGCACAAGCACAGGTCCCCGTCCCCGGCTCCGGCCCTCGGCAGAGAAGTGAGGGGGGGTTTGTGTCGGCAGTGGCAGGACCCCCCTTCCCCTGCAGGCTCGCGGCCCAGGTGAGGCACACCTCTCAAACCCAGACTCCTTTTGCTGTTGCCTTACTTCAGGCAGGATTTCCAGGTGCCCGAAGCGACCTCCACCTTGTAAACAAAGCTGCAATTACATCTGAAATCCCCTACAGTAAGTATCCACAGAATTGTTTTGTCCTTCAAGAAGTTTCCCGGCAGACGGCCCTGCTGCTCACGGATGCTCAGATTTTGAATCAGAACCAAAACATAAACCAAACATTAAATCACCTACAGAAACAGCGAAGCAATTCAGAGTCACCCCCAGCCGCCGCCGCCGCGTCTCCCGTTCACAAACCAGCACCAAAAGGAAACATGTCACGGCTGAAGCGAGTCACCCAGGAACCGCCACGCGGAGGATGAAGCTGCCTTACTGCGGACCCGCGTTCACCAGAGTGTTTCAGATTAATAAACCTGACTCGGTATCGCTACTTACGGTGGGCGTGTGAGGACCTAGACGAAGAGTTCATTTACATGGTTGCGCAAATAAAGAAACTTCTGTGGTCAGAGAATCGATCAAGATGCAAGGAAACAGCAGAGGGAACAGTAATACCATAGTTG